TTTTTTTTTTTTTTTTTGGGGGGGGGGGGAAGGGGGGGGAGAACCCTCCAATCCCTTTGGCGTGAGCTACGGCAAAACAATCAATAAATAATAAAATATGTTTTTTTTGTTGGAAATTTAGCATTTCATTTCCAAATGAACAACCATGCGGCCGTGCATCCTCACAAACAACCCCTGCCGTCTTCCCCCGGACATAACGCACCCTGAAAATGAATGTATGCAAGGCATGTTTCCGGCCCGATACAGTCAAAATGAGGGTGCGTTGTGTTCGGGGGAAAACGGTAGGTACAGGGGCCATCACCACAAAAGCAACCTGTGGAGTTCCATGCGGTTCTGTTCAGCTGAGGACGGTCTAGCGTTGGGCCTGTTTTTTTTTTTTTTAAAGCCCCTGTATTTTTTTTGCCTCTCTTAAGGACCTAGTAGCGAATCTCTCGGAATAAAGAGCCTGGTTTTTTTTTTTTGCCCCTGTGTTTGTTTGTTTTTTAAAGCCCCGGTGCTTTTTTTAAAGCCCCTAAACAGGTTTTGTTTTGTTTTTTAAGCCCCCCCCTTTCTTTAAGCCCCTGTTAATTTTTTTTATTTTTTTTAACAGCCCCTCCTTTTCGGACCTATTAGGGAGTTTCTTAGAATGGAGGCCCTTTTCTTTTTTTTTTTCTTTTTTTTTCTCTCTTCTTTTTCCTTTTTTTTGTTTAACATTCATTTCATTACCAATCATCAAAGAAAGAGGCCGGGGACCTCACAATTCAACCCGGAGTTATCCCGACAGCTTCATATCCCGACAGCTTAGAATGGAGGCCATTTTCTTTTTCAATAGAATGGAGCACCCTTTTTATTTTTATTTTTTTTTAATTCAATAGAATGGAGTCCCTCTCTTTCGGAACTATTAGCCAATTTCTTCAGAAACGACAATATGGGCCTCGCTCAATTCTACATGCATTTGGACGCCTTTCTGGACCAGCTGCATTCGTCCTAGTCCAACATTTTGATTATCTAGGGACGATGGTGAGCTCCAGATACACATGTAGAACTTTGTCTACTGTAGCAATACCCAATGTGGGTCTTATACCCCCCCAAAACTAATGTCATAGCACATACGTAAGCGTACTTAAAAAAAAAAAAGTACTCTTTTTTTTTTGTCTTTTTTTTTGCGGGGGGGACCATTTCCAGTTTTAACCCTGTCATCCTCTTTTCTTTCTTTTTTTTCCTTTAACAGGCAGCGGCCTTGGTATCATTATAGAACTGACCGGACTAACTCCACATAGCCCGCACAGCCCACATAGCCCACACAGCCCACACAGTCCACATAGCCCACACAGCCCACATAGCCCACACAGCCCGCATGGTAAACGTACTCTTTATAGCACGTAAACGTACTCTTTATAAATTAAAAAAAAAAGGAGTACTCTTTTTTTTGGTCTTTTTTTTGGGGGGGGGGCATTTCCAGTTTTCACCCTGTCATCCTCTTTTCTTTCTTTTTTTTGCTTTAACAGGCAGCGGCCTTGGTATCATTACAGAACTGACCGGACTACTCCACATAGCCGACACAGCCTACACCGTCCACACAGCCCGCATAGCCCACTTAGTCCACATAGCCCACATAGCCCACATAGCCCACACATCCCGCATAGTACCATCCCCCAGCCAACACATAGTACCGTCCAGCCAATGCCTACAGCACACGTTTTCCCCCAAGGCAGCACACATAGCACCGCCCCCAACTTACATATCACTCATCCTATAAACTATCATTCACCTCACATAGCACCGCCTACCCCACATATTACCTCACGTAATGTGTGCCGTGTGCTGTGTGCATCCTCAGTGCACACAGCACACACGGCACACCTTAGCGGCAACCAGCTAGTGAGCTCTGCATATCGGCCAGTGACCTCTACATATCGCCGCCCATTTGGTCGGTATAGCACACCCAGCTCCACATAGCAACTGCATAACCTCCACACGAGGGTTAGCGTGGTGGCCTTCCGTTATCTAATGGGTTCTGGGGCCCCCTTTACCCCTTTACCCACCTCTCTCGGCCGCCGCCGGAGCCGTGGTTGGGCACCTGGCTTGTTGTAGTAATACTGATAATAATAAACAAATGCAGCTACGCCCCCACAAAGAAAAAAAGAAGGGAAAACTCGTAGGGCGCAGTCACAGTTTCAGTTTAAAAATGCGCTTTTTTTTTTCTTTTTTCTTTTTTTAAGTTTGAAAATGCGCTTCGGTCACGATTTCGCGAATCTTGTGCCAAACCTAGAGAGGAAAATCATGAATGTATACAACCTAGCTTTAGGGTGGGATGGAGATGTGTTGTATTCGAGGGATGCCTGAAGTGGATTTTAAACTGAAATCGTGACTGCGCCACAAAAAAAAAAAAAAAAAACATACGACTCAGATACCCATGATCTCAATGTACTCTCTCTCTCTCTCTCTCTCTCTCTCTCTC